TCCACTCACCTCAGCCTCCCAAAGGTGTGGGATTACAGGCTGAGCCACCAAGCCCAGCTTTTTTTACCTCCTTTTATGGTTGTAATGCCAGTGTAAAATCTGACTTTTAGAAGGCTGACATTAAATGTTGGTTTCAATGTTAAAATAAAAATGAGACATAAAGATTCTCCTATACAAAGAATATATTTTACTGACCTGATATAAGGCAAAGCAGGGTCTACATGGTGGAGTGATATTGCCGTAATGTATGAAAATGTGAAAGCAGCTGATGTCCAAATTACAAGGACTGAAGGAAGGAAACTAAGGCCTTGCTGGAACCACCACATTTCACACAGGTCTTCTGAAGTAGAAAAAACAAATTAGAAAAGATAATTCACAAGGGTGGTCCATCTTACTTTAGCCATCCACACCCACAACCTTGTTGGAAGCCTGAGCCATTCCACTTCTGACATCACCCTCATACCATCCCCCAACACTTGCTTTTCTTCACTTTCTCAGTAAATACAATCAAGATTCACCTTTCTGTCCCATTTTCCCACACATCATCAATTATCACATGCTGTTTTTCTACCTCCTACCAATCCACCCCTTCTCACCATCTTCACTGCCACTACTCTACCTGAACCACCATCATCTCCTGGTCAGATTATCATCTTACTTCCTAAGGGGGCCTTGTGATACTGTGAAATACATATGTACAATAAGTCCCCTACATATGAACCTTCAATTTGCAAACTTTCAAAGATGCAAATGTGCATTAACAAATCCAATCATGTAAGTTAATTCATGTGTCTGGTGTACACTGTCCTGTGTGTGCATCCTCTACAAGAGATTGTGCTTTCATATAGAATATTGTACAGAGTATGGTATCTTTATTTCAAACCCAGGATGTCCAGAGCAAGCATGTACTACTTTTCAAGGTACCGTACTGTAAGATTAAAAATGTTTTATTTTTGTGTTTGTTTTTTATGTATTATAAACCTATTATATACAGTACTATATATTTGTTGGGTACCAAACAAATTCGACTTACAAACACACTCTCAGAATGGAACTCGTTTGTATGTAGGGGACTTACTGCATCTGGTCTTCTAATTTCTTGGCAAAAAGTTCTTAAAACCTTTGGAATCTCTGGAATGATATATCTTTTACATGCTAATGAAATAACTGAGAGCTTGTAGCCCATGGATAGCTTCAGAATGGGCACTGGTCAAAGAAATGACCAAGGCATGATAAGAGGATTGGAACTTACAACCCCATCTCCCCAAACTCTGGGGAAGGCAGAGGATGAAGATTAAGTTAATCATGCCCACACAATGAGGCTATAAAAACCAAGTCTGGGTGCAGAGAGTTTCCCAGTAGCTGAATACAGGGAGATTCCTGGGGGGATGGGGAGGGTGGCATGTTGGGAGAGGGACATGGAAACTCTAAAACCCTTCTCACATACCTTGCCCTATGCATCTCTTTGTTACCCTTCATAGTAAACTGGTAAATATAAGTGTTGCCTTAAGTTCTGTGAGCCACTTTAACATAATCAAACATAAGGAGTAGGAACCCCAATTTATAGTCAGTGGGTTAGAAGCACAGGTAAAACAATCTGGGGCTTGTGATTGATGTAAGTAGGGGTTAGCCTCATGGAACTGAGCCCTTAACCAGTGGGCTCTGATGCTATTTTCAGGTAGATATTGTCAGAATTGAAATAGAGGACATTCAGGTGGTGTCTGCCGCAAAATTGATAGATTGGTTGCTGGTGGGGAGAAATTTCCACACACATCTTGGTGACCAGAGAAGTATTCTGTGTTAATTACTAAGTGAGAGAATAGGAAAAACCATAGTGTTTTTACTCAGTCCCCCTCCATTCTTGACCACAACCAATCTAACTCCACTCTAAAACCAAAGAGATCCTTCCAATTCTAAAATACCAATCTAATTCTCCTATAAAGAATCCTTCAGTGGTTTCTCTATGCCTTTACAAATTGTCTCTCCTTCTTAACATGGTTCATAAGGTCCCTGCATCACCTGTCTCTACTTTCTACATTCGGTGGCCTCTGGCCACTCTTTGCTCCCAATTCCTGGTTCCAGCCATCATCATCTTCATCCTCATTACAAAAGCAAATAGTGTTTGCTACATGTTAGCAATGTTTACTAAGCACCTTAAATACATGAAATCATTTATTACTCTTAATAAAATTATGAGGCAAAGACAATTGCCCAAGGTCTTAATGCTGGACCTTCGTAGAAACGGAATTCAGACTCAAACAATTTGATTCTAACATCAAATCACTATACAACACTGCCATGGAAAACTTTTTGCAGATTGTCAAATGTATCACATTCTCTTACACATGAACTGTTCTCTCATCTGGATGACTGAACTAAATGCTATCACTTTCTCCATCTACTATGCAACCAGTTCACTTTTATATGTTTTTCATGTCCCAGTCTTTCTAGCTTCGGTGTGTCACTGCTTCGTTTTCAAAGCACCCTTTACTTCACCAACCAGGACATACATTACACTTAACTATTACTTGCTTGTTTGGTTTTATCTTCCTCACTAAACTTTCAAGTTCTGTGAGAGCAGGAAACTATAGTTTTGTTCTCCATTGTATTTCCAGCTCCTACGTGGGGCAGGTCTAAACACATCCAGGCCTCACGTCACCACTTTCTTCCTTAAATTTCAGACCAAAGATGCTGTTAAGCAATAATGAATCAATAATGTGAATTAGAAAACATTAGTGTATGCTCATGCATTTAACTTTCTTTTTTTAAAAAATATAGGACTACTTTTAAATTATAAGAAATTACTCTATGCATGTGAGAATGATTTCATGCATGAAGGAACATCTCATATTTTGATGACCTCCTCAAAATTTAGTATTTCCCATAAACTTTGTAAATATAGCTTCCTCATCTGAAACTGACCTTCCAAAGAATGAAATATCAGTCATTTTTGACTTAAAGTCGCTTACTCTGATCATCTGACTTGTTGCTAAATATATATTTACATTTTGCTAAATAAGCTTTTCCTTTATGCCTAATAGGTTTGATTTGAGTAACTTCCTGCTTGAATTATCCTCTTTTCTGTTCTCTGTTCCTTGTCAGTGCTTAACATTCCTTTGATATTTTTCTTCATTTATTTAATTAATCATGACGATTCCTTGCCAAAATCCTATAGATGCTCTTCCCAGTATAGGTTTATTGGATAATAATTCTAAATTTGTATATGTTTTGAACCACTTCTAAAAAATGTAGTGTTTTATTTTCATCTCTTTAAATATTATTCTGTTTCTGATAATTCCTATCTAAAATCCTCAGGAGTCTATATTGGCTCATTTTATGGTTTTTGACTGTGAACTCGTATTTGGATAATCTTAAAATATGAGAGTATTCTAAAAAGGCTTGAATTAAGGGTGAATCATTCCAGAAAAGAAAGTATTTGTTTTTGCCAGGCACTCTGGCACATTTCCAACCTGGGCCAACTTTATGTTAATTTTTTGGCTTCCAGTTTTTTAACTAGGTAGATATGTAAATTTAAATTTAAATATGTAAAATAAGTGATGGCAGAACCCAAAGTTCTCAGGTGGTATCTTTATTCCCCCAGTTAGAGTTGTGGTGAAAATGAACACATTTCTTGGTGATCTCCCTTCACCTGGAGGAAGTTATTTTTCTGGCTCACCCTTCACTGAGAGTGTAGACTTTTGAAGTCCCTAGGTGAATTTGGAGGGAAGTGGCACTCCAATGCCACAAGTTATATAATTTCAAGTGGAAATATTTAAATTTTATGCTTCGAGGATGTCACCTCCCATCTATAAAATCTACAATGGAATGGCATCTGTTAGAGTAGTTTACCTGGGAGGTCACAGGACTATGAATTCTACGTCTCTAGAAACATTTGGTTCAGGAGCACAGAGAGTCTATCACTAGTCCCCAATTGTACTTTATTTCTGCTATCAGCCAAGTATCCCCAAGGAGACACACTGCTACTTTACTATTCTGGTTTCAGCTCTCTCTTTAACCTTTTAGTTCTGGGAATTTCCCTGTCTTTCCTAGAAGACCTGCCATGAATTTAGTAGGCTAATATAATTTATTTAGCATTTAGGTATTTTGTAAAAGAAATTTTCAAAACATTCAGCGTACTCCATTTCTATAAGCATAATCTCTTCCCCCTTTCATTGTTTTGCATATCTAAAGCTTTCCTATTCCTCAAAAGCTCAAATGTTATCTTCCACACACATCCTTCCCTAACGCCTTGTATCTAGAAATATGCTCATTATCTTCTTTTGCAGCCCATTATCTTCTATAGTATGAAATTTTAGGAAGGTGTCTTAAGAAAATAAAAATCCTTGCTGATGGACTCTGTTTTTCCATCTAAGTACAGCAGAGGGCCTTGCCCATAGTCACCACTCAACATTTGTTGAATGAACAACCAAAACCAAATCCTCTTAATTCTCAAAACTTATCATGATTTTTCTATTTCAGTAAATAGCATTATCTTTCTCCCAGGTTATCCAGATTCTATAACCTTAGGTTCTCTCTTCCAAAGCCCTCTCACTCTGTCACCAAGTGATGGTAATTCTATTTCTGTAAGTCAATTGCAATTATTCTTCTTCCCAGTTCACACTGTAACTACTTCACAGTCTTAATTCTCTTGGCCTGCTTTTTTTCTTCCCCTCCATCCGTTCTCTGCATTGCCAAAGTAACATTCCTAAAGTACTTCTCTGCTCACAAAATTTTTCTAAATAAAAAAGTTCTGTGAATTTGGACAAGCTTCATAACTTCTCTGAACCAGTTTCTCCTGTGAATATGAGAATAATACTGTCAGCACAGGCTGCACTGGTCAATGCAGTAGCCACTAGCTACATGTAGCTATTTAAATTAAAATTTCAATTGATTAAATAAAATTTTCAGTTCCTCAGTCACACTAGATACATTTCACATGCTCAGAAGCCACATACTACAGCCTAGTGTCTACTGGCTACTGTATACAACAATAAAATTTTAGAACTTTCCCATTATCATGGAAAAGTCCTACTGGACTGTGTTGAATAGATTTTGTACAGGTTGCACTGATAGCAAAAGCAAAGAACCTAACACACTGCTGATGCATAAATGGTAGCTGTTAGTATCACCTGTTAAATGGTATAAAATACCCGATTCACAGACTAAATGAGATATTATTCAAAGACTAAATGAGATAAGATACGTAAAGTACTATCACAGATGGTCAATACATCCTTCTGCTTTTATAACATGAAGATGAATTACCTGTTTGCAAGTTCACAAAATGGTAGTCTTCAGATTTGCCCAAACCACACCTTTTGCAAATCCTAAAATCCACATACAAATAAGAGGCTGTTCTTTTAATCCACATAATTTTAAACATGTACAATTTCAAGTCAACACACCAATACTGTTCAAGGTCAGAACACTAGAATATAGCATTATTAACAAGTTTTGTTTTAAGAGTTGATACTTGAGGTTTTTAATAATGATGTAACTAGAATTATGTCTAGAATTACATAATTTTTTAATTGTAGGATATAACTTTCATATTCTTTCTCACATCTGAAAACCTTCACTAGCCTCAAAAAGGATAACATAAAAGAAAAAACACTGAGTTTTCTCATATTAAAAGAGAAAATGAGGAAAGAATGACAGCTTCTTATTAAGCAGAATAAGGCAGTCATCAGTCTATGTGGTACAGCTGTGAGATCAGGTTTATCTTAGTGCAAATCCTATCTTTACCACTTCCCAGCTATATGACTTCACGGAAGTTACTTTGCTTCTGAATGACGGTATTCTAATTTGTAAAATACCCAAACCCTTAAACAGTTGTTCCTTGGAGTAGAACAGAGTAAGCATACAATACAATAATGATAACCGGTTTATTAATCCTGTACTGTCACAACTAACCACAGGTATGGAGTACTATGTAAGAATTCTTTCTATATATGAATCATCTTGGATTCATACCTCCTTAGGCTTTGAGAAGTCTAACTGTTTAAACTGACAATTTAGAGAAGAAGCAGGGCCCAAAACAGTTAACCTGCTTGCTAATGACATCTGAGAAATATAAGAGCATGAACTAAGTGAAGAAGACTACTAATTGCCCAAGTATCTTCACCTGGGAAAGCTGAAAGCATGGCTGGATAATTGCCAACCAGGGAAATTTAGAATTTTAATGACTAACAGTTTAAGAAACCTTTTGAAATTCTTGAAAATATGCAGGAATAAGCTTCACATAGCAGTTAGAATGTTTAACAAAATTTTCTTGCATCTCTCACCTATCTTCTCTGCTTCCTTTGAAGTTCCATGAATCAAAACTGCTGTTGCAATCTTCTTTACACAAATATTTAAATGCCACTGGTAATAAGATTAATTCCTTACGATGTCTCCTCTAAGTGGTGACTGCCAAAGAATAATAAGAAAATAAATGCTGGATGTTCAAAGTGAACAGACAGAAAGCCCAAAGCTCCCTCAAGAGCCGCACAGTACCATCAAACCCAAAGCAAAGTATAATAAAACAAAATAGTTACTTTTCTAAGCTCTAACTTGGCCTCCTGACAAATGTAGTAATCTCCCTGGGTTAAATCCTAAAGAGTCTAGAAGATTAAGCAACATTTTTATACATTACTGGATCAAACGTCACATGGAGAGAAATGAGGAGACAACACACAGGGTCGCACAGGGGTACCGATTTCCAAATTCAACTTTTGGCGAACTGCCAAGAATATTTCTACGGTACGTTTTCTGGGTTTCTCAGCTGTATCCTCCTGCAAAGAACGGTTGTGAGGATTCCCGGGACTAGTAATTTCCTTTCTGTAAGGGGCCCACCTCTGCGACAGAACAGCGCGAAGCTGACTGCGCTCCCAGCAAACACAAGGTCACCACGGTCTCAGTTTCAGCACCGCCCCACCCTCGCGCGCTCCAACCACCAAGGTATCCGAGCCCAGAAGTGACAACAGGAATGCGCACTCAGCCGTAGATTTTGTGGGACTGGGGCGAAGGCTCTCGGCAACTGCTTAAACAAAATCAGAGGAACGAATTAGATTTTCCCACCCCCAGGGACGCGCAGCCTGAGGGCCTTTAAAGACACACCAGCTCCGCTTGGCCCCAGGCCAGGAAAGAACGCGGAGCCTGGCCCTAAGCATCATCCCGGCGGGTGCGGGGCAAAGGGGACAGAAAGGCGGGGCGTGGGGACCCGATCCCAGCGTGCACTCGTCTCCGCCCCGGCCCCCCGAGCGCCCCCGG